TTCCTCTTACACACAACTGGGTAGGCCTAGTTGCAGCTGGCTGCGCCTGCTTTCAGACAACGTGGGATAAGGTGCGGAGTCCGTTGATCACCGCATCGTCCCCTTCTGGGTGTTTTCGTCGCGTGCCATTCTTATCGCCTTCATCATAGCCATTACTTCGTTCTCCTCCGGACCTCCTCCGACTCCACCGTGCACTTCATCCCGCTCGGCCATCTCTTCACTGTTACTGACACCCAATGTGCCAGTAACGCTGTGTTCTCTGATTTCCTTCCTTATTAAACTGGGTCCAAATGTATTGTATATTGTTACTTTTGACGTCCCTATTCCCCAACAAACGACGTTCTGACTTGTGCTTGCTTGCACAGTTATCGGGCGATCTTGTGTTGTCTGAAGTTAGCGCCTTGTTCCCAGCTAATCTTTGTGGGCTGAACACAACTCAGTTATCCCCTTTGGTTCCTATTACTAGCCCTGCCCATCCAGCCCAACACGGAGATGGGTGCCGCCACAGCTGAGGTGGAAACCGCCATGGCTGCCGAAGGCGCCGAAGCAGGGGAACAGGATGGGCAGCCAGGGGCAATGCAGCTGCTGCAGCCAGGGATGGCGCTGGTGTCAGGCAGCGGGCTGCAGCAGGTAAGTGGACATGTCAGGCTGCAAGCCACGGGTTTGTACAGGTGCCAGGGTGACAGCCGAGCCCCTGAACAGGAGCTGGGTTGCCTGTCGTACACGCACATATGTTAGGGTACGGCACATGGTGCAAGTCATGTTGCATGATGGCCAGCTCACGAAACCATATTATTTTCATCCATATAATTCATCCATATGCAGTTTCCTAAAATCTCAGGTCCGGAAAGTGTCCAGGATTCATCAAGGACCGAATTTCTTCAGCATTCCAATCTAAGCTTGGATGAGGAGCGTGCTATTCGTATAGCCAAACAAAAGGAATTCCTTGCAAAGCTAGGACTTCAAGCCATTGTTGACAATATCCGGTCGCCTCGCTCGCCTATCAGACGACAGAGTACCCACTCAGCTCCATTGGAGACTCGCAGATCCACTAGGCTTACTGTCTTATCATCAAAGCTTAGCAAGCAACAAGTGAAGGTATGTGGTGTCCCAACGGGTGGTTAAAGATACCTAGGCGGCGGACCCTACTTTAGGGTTCTCATTTCCTTCCTGGTCTGGTCTGGGTTGACACTACTGCAATTAGCGGTTTAAGGTCCTGGGTTCGATTCCTGGGGAGACCCCCGAATTAGTCGGGAGCACGAGATTATGGCTAGCTGCTGAGATGTGGAGTTGAGGTCACAGTTGATGGACTAGATTCGCACGCTGGATTGGTGGGCGATTGCCGAACCCTCCGTCTCTTTGGGTGTTCGGGTGAATGGATGAGGTGGGGTCCCTGAAGGCTGGATCCGCCGCCTTGGACTTACAGTTCGTATGGCGAAGTACAGTGTGGTAGTGGTGGATGGTGCTATAAGGTGATAAATGATCTAGAACTGACAATGTGATAAAGTGGCCCAGAAGCCTCCCACTCTGTAACATTACATTACATTACATTACATTACATTACATTACATTACATTTTCCTTCCTCTGTGAAAGATCTCAGTTCATAAATATTTACAATGTTTATTGTCATATTGGGTTTAACAATATTCTCTGCTGCAGATGCCGACCCATGCTGCAGAAGCGGCTGTCGTCGAGGACACTGCTGCAGTGGTGGTGAATCACGATCCTGAGATGCATCTTAAAATTTTCTCAGACCAACACAAAACTTGGGCGGAGATGCACAACCTGGATTTGAAGGCCGACGAGGGCCAGCTCCTTGCGGCCATCCTCCAGTGGCCTGAGCAGTATAAACTCTACTGTGGGAGTGAGGGCTCCTTTCATCACTCCTTTGCAGTATGTGGAATTCTGGTGGCGAATGGCATGTATGCCCCAGACTTTAACAACCCCAAGCTGCAGGCTATCAACCACTTCACTGAGGACATGAAGTCTGCCCTGCTGTCTGGGGGGCTGAAGCAGTTTGAGCTTGCACTCCTTCTTGCGGGTCTGAATGCACTCTGCCAGGGAGACATGGGAGCACAGGGTCAGCAGGTCCGGAAGCGTGCAAAGTCTGCTGCAAGCAATGACTGCAGCAAGAGGACAAAACATACCGCACAGGAGATGGCGGGCTTGCTTGAGAAGGAGTTTCACTCGGACATCATGTCTGCATCCAACTTCAAGGACATCCCGGTAAGGTGTCATGGTCCAGGATTCTTTACTAATCACAACAAACATCCATAGAGGGTTTGGCACCACTGGTAAGGCATGACCATTGCCCCCGGGAGATCCCGGGATCGATACCCGTTAGGGTTAAAGTCCTTCCGATGGTGGATGACATTGCCCCCTTAGTTGATGGACGGTGGTGACCTGGGGTAAAGTTAACCTGCGAGCCGACCAGGAATGGAGTTGGGCCGCTGTCAACCCGGTAGATTCCGTTGGAAATGGTGGTGGGTGCGGAACCTGAGTGATCCACTGAGAAGTTGACTAGGGTGACTGGATGAGGGTGCCCCGAAATACCGGGGAAGGCAGGGTTTTGCAGGGTAGCTGCCATGGGTGAAGATACACCCCCCTGTTTCACACATCATACATCCTGATGAAATATTTGCATGGGCTAACCCTAAGACACCCTCCTGTAATGTTGTATGCTTTTATCAATCCACAGGAGGTGAAGGTTCGGATTGCAGAACTTATTAATAAATTTGGCAGAACTGAAGGTGCCGCCACCATGGTAGGCATTAAGGCCAAGGCAAACACAACCGAGGAGGATGTTGCTGAAGAATTGATGAAGTCACTCCACCACAAATGGAAGAACCTCCGCAACATGGCTAAGAAGACACAGAAAGAGAAGGGTGCGTGACTGTGAACTTGCTAGCCTCATCATGCTTGTATAAATGGAGACAACAGGACATGTGATGCCTCCCGCTGCCTGAACCTAGTCAATCCATGTGCAATAGCGCTAGCCAGCACATGTGTATGTACACAGGAACCCAAGCTCTATGTATATGTGCATGCATGGTAAATGTCAGTTGCTCCTCAACATGCCATCATCCCTCCTGCTTGCCTACAATTTGACCTGGGCATTCATGTCATGCATGACCCTGCAGGTGATGAGCCAACCCCTGCCCAGCAGGGTGCCCAGGTGCCTAATCATAATACTCTGGACACGGCTGAAGATGGCACCGCGGTAGTACAGCAGGACAACACGGCAGCAGGGCCCAGGAAATGCTGCTCCCGCTGACCCCTACTGCTGGGCCTCCCTTCTGGATGACAGCCTGGAGGAGATGGACAAGTACAAGTCGGCAGGCGGCCACGTGTCCTACCTCAACAAGTACAACCTGGCTGACAAGACGATTGGCTGCTATCTGGTGGGCGGCTCCAAAGACAAGCCGAGCACACCATCAGTGCTTGGGGCGGGCTTGGTGCTCAGTGACATGGCAAGTATATATTATGGCAGATTGCTGTACACTCTGTGTTCTAACTTGCAACATATAATTTGGCCTTTTCTGCAACTGATTACTCAGTTGGATCCGGTTTTACTAATTCTTTGGTGGTGCAGGCATCGGTTTCCATTGAGGACACCATTGAGATCCTGGTCATTGGCAAGATGAAGGGGCTGCACCACCGTGCAAAATTTACCCTGCCTGAGCCTACCAAGACACTCGCCATCAAGGACTACCCCTTGACCATGTTTGATAAAGTAAGGAACGACAGGACATTAATTAACCACCAGCAGTTCCTGTATCCTGACAAGCTTTCATTACTTCCTATATATGCAGGTATCCTGGCCTGTTCTGGGCATCCTGGCTAACGACAAGGGCAGACATGCTGTGCCCTGGGCATGTGATACCCTGGGCGTCAGTGCAAAGCAGATATCATCAGCCTTGAAGGGGAACAACATTTAGGGTTAGACATAGTTGTGACTTCTGGGGCATGGAAACAAGTACAGAGGGATGGTCGGTATAATTGAGGGCCTGCTACATACTGCTAACTAGCATCATGATTAATGTTTGACCTATGTGTCGGGATGGAGTTGGCATGCATGCCTGCTCCTTCTGCACATGCGTATGCATGCTACAACATGTACATATCTCGAGCCATGGTATTGAAAGGCTGTTGTGTGATGGGTGTTGTTGCTTGACCCACTAGGATGGGTGGTTGCCCATTGCAAATGGCTGCAAAGCCTTGAATTCATGCTGCCGTAAGGCAGCCAGTTTGATTGGTGTAGTAGACCATACGTAATTATTAAACCCTCTATGCATCATGGGCTTATGAAAGGCTGTGCTAAGTAGCCACTGTGTACACATGTGTTCATAACATGGTATGAATATTCTTATGGCTGTTATGCATTGTTCATCAAGTTCCTGTACATGTAGTACTACTAGTGCTGGTGTGTCGTACATATACATATATACATAGGTCATGAACTTAGCAGGCAGCATTGGTAACACATGTGTGTATACACTGACGCTTCCGGAGGTTCCAGGATTGCCACCAGTCAAGGTAAAACGTTATACCGATGGTGGAAGGTAAGAGTGCCGCTATTTGATGAACAGTAACGGCCTGGGATAATGTTGACATGAGAGCTGACCAGGAATGGACTCCAGCCGCCATTAAGTTTGCAGATGTACATGTCGTTGGATGACGGTGGTGGGAGCACTCCTGAGATGTACCCGAGTGATTCACTGAGAAGACGGCTAGGGTGACTGGATGAGGGTGCCCTGAAATACCTGGGTAGACAGAGTTTCACCTGGTAGCGACCACCGGTGTAGATATGCCCGCCTGTCCCACACATAATGTATAAGGGGTTGTGTTACAAATGTGGAAACGGTTGATACCCACACTGAGATTTTATACATGTCATTCCAAATGTAACGATTGAGTTTATATCATGCTGTTCGTTAAATGATGTCATTCCATGCTACATGGCGATATAATTTTCCGATGACAATCTGGATGCACCTATTTATTAAAGAATCAATAATTTTGCCTAAGAATGTAAAAGAACACCCCTAAGAATGTAAGAGAATACAGAAGGCTGCTGGCCCTAAAGAATGCTAAAGAATGGTAAAATAGTGGTTTTATTTCATAAGAATGAGACTTAAGAATGGGTGCCATACTTAGCAAACCCTATGGTAAGAATGGTTAAAACCCGCCAAAGAGCAGCTAAGTATGCTTTAGGCAAAGAATCAATAAGTTGGCCTAAGAATGTATAAGAACACCCAAAGAACGAAAAGAATACATAAGACTGCTGACCCTAAAGAATGGTAAAGAATCGTAGAGAATGGTAAAGAGTGGTTTTATTTCTTAAGAGTGAGACTTAAGAATGGGTGCCATACTTAGCAAACCTATGGTAAGAATGGTTAAAACCGGCCAGAGAGCAGCTAAGTATGCTTTAGAGAAAGAATCCCTAAGTACGTAAAAGAACACCCCAAAGAATGGTAGAGAATACATAAGACTGCTGGGACCTGGAGAATACTAAAGAATTTGAAAGAACGGTTTTAAGATAAACGGAGGTCATACGAACGTTCTTAGAACGTTCTTAGAACGATGTAAGAACGTTCTACTGTTTATTCGATTTTATCAATTTGGCTGGGCTAAGAACGACTTAAGAACGTTCTTAACCCCCCTCCGCGTTCGTAGGGTGTGCAAAACAACCCCTCAATCATCCTGGGATGTACCTCTGCAGCTGTGAGCACTGTTATGGATGTTCCAGTGGCGCCTTCAACCTATAAAGAGTTGTTGTTTGCCCGCGGCATCTCACTGGTATTTGCTGTGCTTCCTTTGCCTGCAGCCTTCCTGCTGGTTGCATGCGGCCTGCTTGCATTTGAGCCTTAATTGTGAGTGCCGTTATATACTTCCGTGCAGAACATGGGCTGACAGGGCTGCTGCTGGGTGAGCAAATTATCTCCGAAGTTCAGAAGGCCATGAGGGAGCTCCAGGTGAAGGTGCGCCTCTGGGATGACTGCATGCAGTGTTGTGTTTGCATCAGACACCATAATAGGTCCATGTAGCATGTGTTTACTCGTGTTCCCTGCTTGGTGGCAACATCTCATTCCACCCTTTTCGCTACCCTGGATGATGGCTGTATCAGGGTCTCACACGGCCCAGTTCCCCCATCAAGGTCACTCCGTCCTCCTGTTCATCAGATATGTGCAAGACGATCGAGGGTGCAGTGGGCGTGCGGTGGCACTATGTCATGGGGGTCATTGCGCCATGCTGCTGCACCTGTGTGCCTGTGGCCCCAACTGCCATGTTCTGCTGGGACGGTGCCAATGAGGACGCTCCAGACACCATTGCAAGAGCGGTGAAGCACCTGCAGCACATCGCCCCTCAAGGTATTGTTTATGACATTGGAGGAGTGATGAATGTGGGCAGCAGGAGTAGTGTGTTGGGGCAGCATGCACTGCATTAGCAGAGCAACCGGCTGTATGCAGGCTCTGAGCTTTTTGTATGTCTTCCTGGTATTGCTCAGGTCACTCATGCACCCAATCTGCCATTCTGGCCACGTTATGTCCTCGCAGGTGTGAAGGTCCTGCCGGTGCAGACCGTTGAGTGGCTACAAGCCACGGTCAACCTCGGCCACAAAACCATCGAGATAAAGCCCTCGAAAACGGACTATATATTCGTCACGGGGGTGGCGTGGGCCAAGTGCAAGGAGGACTTCGGTGCAAAGTTGTTCAATGGGTGGAAGCTGAGTGTTAAGGATGGCATGATGACGGCCGATGCATTGCAGTCCATGCTGGGCTCAATCATTGCCCTGTATGAAGTCAAGACTGATGTCACCCTGAACAAGGGGTTGCCTGGTGTGCGCGTGCAGGCGCTGATTGAGTACCTGGCAGTCAACCACATGAAGGACTGGCCCATGAGTGAGTGCATTAGTTCCGACTGGTGCACTCAAGAGCTAAGATGCATATGGTTCAGCAAAATGACAAGTAAAGCCCACACAATGCCATTACCAAAAGCATAGCACCAGCCATGCTCCCCGCACCTCAGCTGTCTGCAAGACATTCACCTCGGCCCCTGTCCTTCAATGCAGATGATGTACCTGTCCTATTTGGCGACCTCAATAGACATTATGTGGTTCATGCTGGCCGCAAGGATGCAGGCCAGCCCCAGAGGTCTATTCATGTGGTGGGCCCGGCCCAACTCCCCATTCTGGCAGAAAACACACTTGCTGGAGCAGAAGCCAGCAGCCCAAAGAGTGTGATGCTTGGCTTTATACGGGCCCTGCTGGGCACATGCCGGATGGAGAAGGCTGGCAGCCGGATGGGACGTGCTGCTGATAGCAGTGGGGGTGGGACCAGCAGCAACGGGGGTGGGGCCAGCGGCAGTGGGGGCGGGGCCAGCGGCAGCAGGGGTGGGGCCAGCGGCAGCAGGGGTGGGGCCAGCGGCAGCAAGAGTGGGGCCAGCGGCAGCAGGGGTGGGGCCAGCAGCAGTGGGGGCAGGACCAGCAGGGCCCTGCTGGGCACACACCGGACGGAGGAGGCTGGCAGCCGGATGGGGCGTGCTACTGATAGCAGTGGGGGTGGGACCAGCAGCAACAGGGGCGGGGCCAGTGGCAGTGGGGGCGGGGCCAGCGGCAGCGGGGGCGGGGCCAGCAGCAGCAGGGGTGGGGCCAGCGGCAGCAGGGGTGGGGCCAGCGGCAGCAGGGGTGGGGCCAGCGGCAGCAGCAGGGGTGGGGCCAGCGGCAGTGGGGGCAGGGCCAGCAGGGGCGGCAGGGGCAGGGCATGCGGTGAGGTTGATATTAAAACCAGTGGTGATGATAGCCATGATGCCTACAATGACACGGTCGCTAGTAGTGACGGTGGCAGGAAAGGGGCTTCAAACAGCAGTGCAGGCAGCTCTTCTGAGGGATCTACCAATGACGACGGTCTGCAGGAGGCAGCACGGGAGAATGAGTATGCGCAGGCCTTGGGAGCACTATTTAGGCTGCCCGAGGTGTACGAGGCCTTGGGGCTGACAAAGCCGCCCACCTGCTTTCAACCTGTGACCAAGGAGGAGTACCTTGCAGGCTTTCGACCCTGTTAGCAGCAGGGGCAGGCACCACTGCATAGCCCTTTGCATCCTGCATCTGACAGCTGATGATGATACCATTATGCTTGTGTGAATTCATGCAGCATTGGTGCACACTACCTTACCCTTGACTGGGTGAGGCTAGTTGATAGTTGTTGTTTTCTATCTTCAAGACTGGGGGGAAAAGTCCTGCCCATCGTAGTGACAATTGCGGGTTAGCTTGTAGTGGTCGACCTCTGATTCCGACTTGCTATGATAGCCCCCAGGAGTGTGGCCTCTTTTTTCGGGGGCCTCGTTAAGGGGCAACCCACAACTCTGCAGAGTGGGGAGGTTTTGTAGTGACGTCCTTCATGAAAGCATTACAGGTGCATTGCTTCAGAGTTGTGGAATGGCTTGGTGCATGGTTAGGACATGCTGTCTGTAGCGGCAAATGTCTTTGGTCTTGGAGCTTGATAGAGGCCTCTGTTCTTCTTGGGTCAAGTGTGTGAGTGCCCTTGTTAACTTAATGAGTGCCCCTACTTCTGACAGTTGTCAGGGTTAGAATGTGTACGTCAACCAGTACACCCAGGCCAGGTTTTGGGGTTTATGTACTTGCACTGGAAGGTGGTCCTTTTTTGGTTTGTGGAGATCTTTTTGTGCTTTTCCATGTGGCTTTCGGCCAATTTGAAACCTCATGCTCCTGGTTCGTTCTTGAGCATCTTGTGTGATGCTCCCTAATCAGTCGGTGATGTGGCGTGTTGTGTGTTAATTGCACTTTGTGGGTGTTTTTAGCGCTATGGATTGCATGCAGGTTGGTGTGTGCCCTGGTGGGAGCACAGTGTGTGCAACGGTGCAAGAGCAGTTTGTCTATCTACATCTCCTCTGCCTGAGTAAGCATTGGGTGAACATTACGGGACAGACCAGAACCATCATTAGTCTGTGAAGCGCTTATAAACACCCGGCTATCGAATGCACAGCAACATCTTGCACCTTGACAGTATGGTATGGTCAGTCGATGGGCGAGAAGAGAAGCGTGTCTGGGGATGGCATGAGGACCAAGGAATGTGTCACAGGAAGGTCACTGACCAGCACGCAAAGTGTACTGGGCAAGCTTCTTCACAGCTCAAGGTGGCATGTATGTGTGATTTCAGGCCTGAACATGGGCGCCTGTTGCTATCTGTCAGCTCCTGGTCAACTTGCGAGCTGACCAGGAACTAAATTGATGCACCGTTGATCCGCTAGATATGGTTGGATGCTGGTGGTGAGCTGCTGAACCCAACGAATACACTCTGAAGTCGGATGGGGTGACGGATTAGGGTGCCCCTCTAGCAGGGGAGAGCAGGGACTGCCCAGGAAAGGGGCCGCTGACGAAGTTAACCACCCTGTAACAACATACATACATTCCCGCATTGAAAGTGCAATATCTTGAGCTAGCAGGGAGTGCAGTGAGGCGGAATCCGCTTATACCGGTACTCGGTCGTGCATGTGTTTTGTGTCCGTCGCATTGTCCCCTTCCCCTGTCCCTGATCGGCAGATGCACGAGGGGTTGAGCCTATTTTAACAGCTTCTCTGAAGCTGACACCCTACCTGTTCCACACCAGCATCATGCTGTCATCATCACAGGGAAGCATGTCAGGCACACTGTGAGCCAAGCGCTAACCCATATGCCACAAAATGTAATAGTTGACATGATTAGGCGCGGCAGTGGTTTCAGGCATTGGTTGCACTGAGCGGAACTGAGCGGGACTGACAGTTACTGAGGGTTTCTCAGAAATTCCGAATGGTCAGGCCATTGTGAATGCACGAGCCCAATTCGTCCCCTCCCCTCGCCTACAACCTCTTATGTTTATGGTCTTCAATACTATTAGTTATTGACCGAAGCAAAGGAAAGCTGCAGTCTGTCCCCTCCTCCTAGCCGCCCGCCCGCCCGTGGGGGCCCCCTCACAGACATGCACACGCATGCTCACCCACCTTGTGCTGCAGTGTTGTTTTGGCACGTCGCGCCAGCAGCTCCCTGACCACCATGTCGAACCCCTTGGCAGCCGCAAGGTGGAGCGCAGTCTGGCCCTCCTGCGTGCGGGTGGCCCCTCGGCAGGGGCAGGGGGATGGGGTGGGGGGAAAGACGAAGGAATGAACTTCCCTGTGGCAGAGCCGCCTGCCATGTGGGCACTATCCTAACACCCGTAGAGGAACTCCTAGGAAACCTCAGATAAGCATCAAGTGTCCTTAAGTCCTACTATAGCTCAGCTCCTGGATCACAGCGCAGGGCCAGGTGAAGAGTGTTGGCATGCCGTTTCGAGGGGGCACCGGGGAGTGAGCGGGGAGAGCGCGAGGCAGGGGCTGGACACGTGACCATATGGAAGGATTTTGCCGTGCCGCATTTCCTACAAATTCAACGTGTTGTATTGACTTCCTTCAGGAGCCCACTTGTCTCGACACCGACCAATCCGTGACATTGGAAGCATGAAAAGCCATGCACCCCTGCACGGACTCCCGAAGACGGTGTGAAGCCTCCCTGGAGTCCACCAACGGAATCACCCAGCGTGAGGCTTTCCCGACCTGCGACCTGAGTTCAGCTAAAATTATTTATTCAATCAATCCGTTTGCCTGCGATGTATGGAGCTTTTAAAATTGCAAAGAATGATCAAGCAGAACCGCTGTTCCTGATCAGCGAATGTAAAGCTATTGATTGAAATTACTGTTGCAGCGAGAAGCGTCGTGCTGGGTGATTCCGTTGGCGGACTCCAGGGAGGCTTCGCACCGTCTCCGGGAGTCCGCACGGGGGTGCGCCATGCACCCGCGCGGGGGTGCACCATGCACCCGCACGGGGGTGCGCCATGCACCCGCGCAGGGGTGCGCCATGCACCCGCACGGGGGTGCGCCATGCACCCGCGGGGGTGCACCATACATATTGATCCCGATGTGCACTTGTCTCGACGCCGACCAATCCAGGACATTGGAAGCGTGAAGAGCCATACATACAACGACCATACTTCAAAAATAGCTAGCCTGCACCTGCTATTTCTGTCAACGCATTGTGCTGAAACGTCTTTGCGCCTCACCCACGCGCATGCTACTAGAAAGCAATATTCAATAGCCTTGATATCGTGCTCTGCGTTGCGCCTATCCTGGAGCTCCGGCAAGGTCGGGAATGGTATCCAGGATGGCAGCTGAGGACACCGTTCGAAGAGTGGTCAGCAGCCCAGAACGAGGAGACCTGCTGTTCTTCATCGGGGAGCAAACTGATGACCAACTGAGCCAGTGGAGGATCCTGGACACAGACGGCGATTCAGCAATTGTCACCTTCGTGAGGCGGAAGGCCCAAGGCGCGTTGCTGGGATGAAGAGTCCTCAGTTTGGTACACATTGGGACATGTGGAGCTACCGTGAAGAGTGCGGCAGAGTAGGCTGGCCATCACCAGGATCTACCTCTGCCGCTGTGGGCACTGCTGCGCAGGTCCCAATGGCAACTGATTGACCGTCTGACCGATGAATATTCTCAAAGCATGTTGGGTTTCTTTGTTCTTGACCTTGAAGCTGAAATCCGTTGTGCTACCCTCCCCCTGCAGGCTCACTGCTGGCTGCTGCTGGTGAGCATTATCACGAGGCTGTATGGTGGGCTTTGGCACACTGTTTGTTGGTAACCAGCAGTAGAGTGGGGCATCACGCATCGGGGGGGGTTGTTAGTTGGTCGGAGCTGAGGGGCAGGGTTCGACACTGACCTTCCTGAAACTTGCAGGCTCCCCTGTACCTCCCAAATTTTCCTTACGGAGGGGCCCCCGTACCAGGCTCCTGTACTGGCCGAAAACCTTACGGGGCCCCCCTAACCCCCGCAAAACCTTTACGGGGGCACTGTCCTTGGCTGAAACGCTGTGGGAAGTGACACTTTGCATTTTTTTGCCCTGTAAATCGTTATTATCGTTATTTCCTCGTGAACCATTACACTCGGGGACACGGCACACTCAGCGAAAGCCAAGCGCCTTGGCCGCCGCGGCCGCCCATCCCTTCTGCTCCTCTTTCTCGTCCTCCTCATCCTCATCAAAATCCTCATCCACGCACGACTCATCGGTATCTCGTTCTACGTCGGTCTCGTAGTCACTGTCACTAAAAGCCTCATCATCACTAGCGGGGTATGTTGCTTGTACCAGTACTTCAATCTCTGGGTCAGTCACAACCTCCTCATTATCATCCTCTCCGTATGGATTCAAATTAATTTTGCTAACGTCAGAAAACACCGGGGTCCTGGTGAAGCAGCTGACCGCGTACTAAAGTATAGATAGATAGATAGTATAGATGCGGAAGATGCCGAAGTATGTCGGTGAAACATGATGTGGCAGGAGTGGAGAGAATAGTGCAGCGATATATTGTGAGTGTAGTTGAAGGGTTACAAGGCGTTCAGCGCACGGGCGAATTTACGTGCATACCTTTCATCGTGGGCGCGTCCAGTTGCAAGCTAAGCAACGCGTATACATGACGTGTAGCATCAGTCCTCAGTTCACTTCTTGTAACGAACATCAGCATAGGTCCAAGCCCTCTCGCTTGGAGGGATATGCAAACAAACATCATGATAGGTAAACTCGTACGCTACCGAGCATTCAACCGAGCATGCTACGAGCAGTCCTTGTAAGGAGCAGCATATCACCCAAAACGCTGGTGTCGGTATCGGCTGTTCCAAAAAGCTGTTCCAAGCCATCATGGCCTCGGTGCGGGGAGCACGGCTGGAGCCGGTGAGTTGGTTGTGCTAGCCCAGGCTTGACCTGACCTAAGACTCCGGCTCTAGTGTCCCGCGGCGGTGTAGTACGGAAGTGTTTGAGCTATCGAGAACAGCGCTGCTGCTGGTGATCATTTCAAGAGGCTGTAGGGTGAGCAACGGCACATTTGTAGTTCTGAGTTCGGAGCACACCAGCCCCATGTGAACCATTCCGGCATGTTGCGATTGAATCCCCGATTGTGCAACCACCGCCTCTGTCTCTTCAGGATACAGCTTGATGTGCAATAATCCTGACCTGCATACATGTGACGTTCTCGTCATGCAGGCGCGGCGGCAGGGCCAGGCCCCGGGAGCACTGCAGCTGACGGTGAGACCCCATCTGCATTGCAGGGCCTCTAGGCCTGGCGCTCGTGGGAAGGGAACCGATCCTCAGGGGGAACGATTGGGGTTTGGCTGAACGCTTATGGCATTAAGACGGGTGAGGCCGCTACGGAAGCAAGAAAAGAAGCGGGCCTTTGTCGGGGGTGTGGAGGCCGTTGCTGGGGGTGCTGGCCTCTATATCGGAAGGGCAGCAGTGAGGCCGTCTCGCGGTAGGGTGGGTGGGTCGTTGCTGGGGGCTGCGGGGTGAGCTGGTTGCGCCCACTCGTGTTGGGTGCGTGCTGGGAGCTGTAAGAGGCGGCAAGGGGCAGCTGGCGGGTGGTGGGCCTGGCCCCAGCACCCGCCCAACACCCGCCCCAGGGGAGCTCGCATAGAGCGCGCCAGCTGTAGGCAGGTTGGGGTGGGTAGGCGGGGCGCTCGCTTGGGCATGGCACGGTGGGTGCATGGGCTGCGGTGCGGGCCTGGGCCCCGGCGCCTATGCTGTACTGCAAGTCAGCTGGAAGTTGTTCTGTCCGTCCCTTTCTGCTGCTGCTCTGTACCCGTTCGTTCCCGCGTTGGTTGTGTTAATAAGATCCTGCATGCATTTCAACTGGGCGACTGGCCGTACTTACTGACAAGTCCAGCTGCCAAGTTGGCTGGATCACGTGGTGCTAGCGAGGAGGGGCTAAGGGCTTGGAGTCAGTTCTGCCGTTCCTAGTTTCAAAGGTGCTCTTGTGGCGTGACGGCTCCACTGCAATGCACAGCAAGTCGGAGAAAGACCGCAAGACATCTGCGCTGAAGTCACAGCTGCAGTGTGCGGGGGTGAAGGGCTGCCAGCTCCTGGGGGAAGGCATCCCCCCAAACTGTGTCAGCCTTGCGCACCTGTGCAAGCTGTCTTGGGCGGATGGCACGTGCCACCTGCTGGGCTTGTCCAAGGAGGACGTCTCATCACCGTGCAACACGCTGCTGCTGTCCAAGGTACAGACACTCGCGCTTGCATTGTCCTCATCCTACATGAATGCAAGCGCTGTAGCTCGGGCATGGGCACGTGCGTATGGCATGCAGAGGCGGTTCTCTTGGCCTTGACGCAGTATGCCATCTAGCCTGTGGCGGCTGGCGCTGCCTGTGTTCTTGCAGCAGTGTGACCCGCCACATCACGTGTTTCCCTGCAGCCCATCGAGCGTGCCTACAACAACTCGGCTGTTTGCTTCTACGAGGACCCGGCAGACAAGAAGCTCAAGCTACACATCCTGTGGGACGAGCTCAAGTCACAGAAGCTCGCCGACTGCCAGTGGCTGGGAGGGCCCAAGGGCAAGGGCTATGCTGAGTTGACCAATGCATTCGGCGACACAACATACGGCGACCTGGAGGCGCGGCCCCTACAATACTACAGCAGCACGGTGGTCCCCTTTCGCCGCATGCTCAGCACCCATGCGCAGCTGAGCCTCGACCGGGCACAGCGGGACGGCAAGATGGCCGGGAGCTGGACCTTCCAGGACTATCACTCCATAGAAAACGTCCTCACCTGGCTTCAAACTGCAGAGCTGCAGGAGCCGCCCATCGCAGGCAGCATGTCGGAGTTGTCGGAGGTCATGAGCATGAGCAGTGCTCCCGCTGCACTGTAGGCATTGTCGTAGGAGCTTGCCATTCTCTTGCTGCAGTCGCAGCCGAGCTGGGTGGCAAACTCTCCGTGCAGCACAGCCTCATGGTGCGGTGCTTGCTGGCCGCCATGCAGGACGTGGCAGGAGGCTGGCTGGCAGCGGCAACGTGCAGCCGCCAGCAGCGACTGCTGCGCACAGAGCTGTATGACTAGGCTGTGGCGGCGGGGCGGTAGCTGCAGCCGCGCGCGGAAGCGCGTGGCGGCGCTGCTGGTGGTGCTTGGTGTGCGGGCCTGGTGGCAGGGTGGCTAGGCACCGCTGAGGGTGGAACGTGGTTGCTTACCAAGGCCGTGCGGCGCCTGCACCTATAAGGGCTGCAGGCGACTGGTATGTTCGTTGCTGGCGGGATGAAGCAGGGAGCCGCGATGATGAGGCCGTGGTGTGGTGTCGCACGAACATCCTTGCGGTGCTGATGACTTCGGCGTGTCGCTGGTTGGCATGTGTTCCAGCGGACTAGATTTTGGCATCAAAGACCTGAATGGACAACATGATTAGGAGGCCCTCCTCCGCCCCCCCTGATGCTGCACTAAAGTCGGTAATGTATTAGTGGCCTTGCCGTTGCAGCTTTTGCATTGGGGTGGGGTATCCGTCCGTGTTTCAGCTCTGTAGCCGAATGAAGCATATACTGGTAAATAACATGAAGTGCTGGTGGTCTGTGGATGGCTGCGCTTGTGCTGGGTTGTGCTCCATGTTAGCTGTACGATTGTTGGGCTGTAGCGCGGTGCTGCCGGCCTGCCAAACATTCAATGTCTGCACTGTGAAATCCGTAATACCCACCTCAACTGGCTTTCAGCATGACGTGCGTTCCCACGGCCTCTGCAACTGGATAGTGGGCCAACCGAGTACCGTACTGCTACACGTGATTCGTGATATCAGAATTCGTGAAATGTTATTTTTGGGCCCTGAGATTTTCACGGCGCGCACCAGAATTCGTGAAAGGACCGTGGCGTTAGGTGGTCGGGATTTTCACCGTGCTACCAGATTTCGTGAAATTGCCCCCCTACTTCCCATCCCACCGCGTGTATCTCGGGGTTGGGCTTGCGGCACATCGCATCTATAAACACAGCGTCACCACATGGCTCCCTTTAACAGCTCCTTGTGTGCACCACACACTGTCGACATGTCGACACATGTCCGGGTTGGAGCGTGCACACATGCGCACAAGAATTCGTGAAACGGTGCCTCCAAAAACCGGTCTGGATTTTCACCTGCTACCAATTTCGTGAAATTTCACGAAACTGGTATCACAAACCACGCGTAGCAGTAAGGTACTGGCCTGCCAAGCATGCGTCTTACCGACCTCCAGAACCCTCCAGAGCCCCTCAGAGCCCTTCAGAGGCCTGTGCAGATACCTCAAGAGGCTGAGCAGCTCTGAAGCAGCCGGTGTCAGGAATGCCAGACCACCCTAAAAGCAGCAGAAAGCATGGACGCGGCGCTGGAAAAAAAACGCACATTTGAAGTTAACTTTTGGTGTTTGGTGTTAACTCAGCATGTGAAGGAGGCACCTTCCCTGATGAGGCACTCACAGATGTGGACTACATGCTGGCGCTGAACACGGGGCACGTGTGGTCAAGTGACCACGTGCAATTGCTGGAGGGCAAGGGGCTGTTTGATCTGTCATCGTTACCTCCCCTCGCTTGGCACCTACTTGCTATACCCCACCCGTTATATCCACAAGTTCTCGTGGTGATCCGCCGACGGACCTGCGGCCCCAACCCCGGCTTGGTCGTCGGCGCGGCTCCTTCCTGATGTATGTATGTATGTAAACGTACGGATGGATGGATGTGACCACATGTGTGGTAATTTAACACACAGCTGACTTGCCAGGAGGTCCATGACCCACGGGTCGGTGACATCAGACGGGTCACCAAACTGACCAGGCGTATTGGCCTTATCGCTTATGTGGATGTAGGTGTGTGTTTTGATAATCTTCGAAGCTGCGAGGGTGGCAGGAAATGCCGAGGGGTGGCGGTGGTTCACGAACAACACCTTTGGTGGTTAACAGAGTCCTGTGATGGCTCCAGAACCCACCCTTCCAATACCACCGGTGGATTGGGGGAAGGTGTCTGGTTTGCCGTACACGTTGCGATCTATATGCCGTGTAAACATTGTGATCTAATCCCTTTCCAGCACATGTAGCCAGTATGTAAGTATGTATGTGTATATGTACGGCGGTTTCCTCTGCAGCAGCACATCAACACACGAAATAAGAGGCGCACCTCCCCAGGGCATTTCCCGATGTCTACTCCCACCATGTGTGTGTATTGAGGTTGGGGGGAGAAGAACCATAAACCACGAAATGGAATTACAGCCCAGTAATAAGGTATATAAACAAATAAAATAAAGCAGTGACCCCCAGTACGGCACATCAGCCCCACTCCACACACCATACAAACCCCGTACACACGTTGAAGGGCCCCTTCCCACGCAATCTGGCGCCTCGCTACCTCAGTCATCCACCACATTCATACACTCCAGCAGTACGGCACCCTATACAAACTGCCGTGTACATTATAGTATGAAAGTATTATTAGAAGTATACACTGGCGCCCTCAGGCATACGAGGGTAGGCCACCGGCCGGGGTTCCCCATCGGGTAGCAGCTGCTGCATGCGGGCCCCCCCGGGACCCCCCCCTCTACCCCCCGCCACCGTCCCTGCCCCCACGGTGGTGTACGACAACCCTAGAGAGGACGCGTCCGGGTCGCCAGGGGCAGTCACCGCAGCCGCCGCCCCCTCCACCGCCGCCGCTGGCTGCAGCAGCAACGAATGGCAGGTCGCAGCGGTGGCAGTCGTGGTCGCGGTCGTCATCGTCGTCGCCATGGCATTGTGGGGGTGTGCGGGGGTTTGTGCCTCTCGCAAGACTCGATACGCCGCGTGTTGCCCCGCCGCCAGCGCGACCTCAGTTGCCGTACGTCCCGCGTTATCCCGGGTGGTCCTGCTGGCGCCCTGACATAGCAGCACCTCCACGGCGGCCACCAGGCCCAGGCGGGCCGCGGTGTGCAGGGGCGTCCCCCCCGTGGCGGGATCTCGTTCCGTGTCGGGCCCACCGGCTGCAGCCGCCAGCAGCGGCAGCAGGTGCACGTGCCGCCGTAGAACCGCCAATGTCAAGGGGCCACGGCCGGACTGCAAAACCACACATTCATACATGCATACAAGCAAATATCTGTACGCATGAATTCATCAGGCGTTGGTAAGCGGTGATGGTGGAGAGGACTGGTAGCTGTGAGATAGACCTGCAGGTGGACCGGGGGAGACAACCGCCTGTCTGTCTGTCTGTCTGTCTGTCTGTCTGTCCGACGCATGAATGGGTACATCATTCAAACGAGCTTGCGGCTAACTGGGCCCCCATTCCCTCCCTCCCCCCCCCAATCCCCGCCCCTTTCCCCCGCCGCAGACTTTGGACGCCTTCCGGCAGCAGTTCATTCCTTCTGGTTTCCTTGCATTCCTTGCATTCCTTGATTTCCCCCCTTCCCTCCCCTCTCCCCTCCTCACCGCATCCACGCACAGCCGCACCCTGTTGGTCTCCATCCCCCGCAGCAATACCCCGCAGGTCCCCTCCTTGCCGGCACACACCGCCGCCAGCAGGGGGCAGTGGCCCTCGCAGTCCCGCAGACTCAGCAGCAAGGACCTGGTCTCCGGGGGGTCCCGGTTACATCGGCCCAGCAGCTCCAGGGTGGTCGCCACCTGGCCGGCAGCTGCTGCGAGATGAAGGGGGGTGCGACCAGCCTGGGGGTGAGGGGGTAGGTGAGGGGGTGGGCGGTGTTGTTGTTCTTCTGGACAACGATTGCTTGGTGTGCGTTGTGAAGGGGGGGGTTGTGGGGTCGTGGATGCTGTTGGGGAGAGTTTGGCCCGCCTGGAACTGCCCCCTCCTCCTAGCCACCCGCCCGCCCACGGGGGCCCCCCACAGATACACACACACGCGCGCGCTCACCCACCTTGTCCTGCAGTGTTGTTTTGGCACGTCGCGCCAGCAGCTCCCTGACCACCACGTCGAACCCCTTGGCAGCGGCAAGGTGGAGTGCAGTCTGGCCCTCCTGGGTCAGGTGGCCCCTCGGGAGGGGCAGGGGGATGGGGTGGGGGGCCGGGAAATCATGTGCAAGGAAACAAGGAATGAACTGCCCGCGTCTGTGCCGGGGAAGAAAGGGGGGGGGGAGGGGAGCAGGGAGGAAGGGGACACCGGAGAAGCACCGTCCACCGGAAGGACGGAAAAAGGGGCGGGATGTAACGCAGGAACGAATGGTCTGCAGCTCAATTCGGGGGTGTTGAAAGAGATGTAGGGTTTGGAGGAAGAAATTTGCGCAAGGAATGAGGGCCTTGCGGGTATCTGATCAGGAGGCGGATGCTCCCTTATCGTGAAGAATACCTCCGAAACCACTTCCTCTCTCGGACGGACTTTGACTCAACAAAAAGGGGCGCATCGGCGCTTCTTACCCTGCTGGTTCGATCCAGGTCCTGGGGGCTCTTCTGCACCGCATGCTGCACCTTGGCCACATCTCCGGCATCGGCCGCTGCGTGAAGTTCCGTCCAACCGGAGAGAACCCACTGCTTGAGGAACGCCATATGGGGCGGCTCTTGGGTGCTGCTTGCGTGTGCTCTTGCCTTTGGTATATGGGCTGGATAATGCTACTGATAAACGATGAAGAGGAATAAAACCTGAGCCAAACCGGAGTTCCTAGGCGAGACGTCGGCAAAGTGTTCTTAGGAAGAAGGTAAGATGTGTTTAAAACGGCGCTCGTAACTGCAAGTTAAGCTGAATGACCGCGAGGGCAGGGGTCTGTCGTCCTGTGGGAGAGCCACGGTCCAGGGTGGCAACGGACTTCCGCAGCGATTAATGCTGATAGGAAGAAAGGTATACGCGGGAGCGGTCAGCCCCTAACTAGCCACGGGCTTGGGGAGCCTTGTTAACCCCTGTGCGGCGGAAGATTGCGCAGGGTAGGCTGTGCTTTCTTCAATTTCATGCTACAAATCAGTAAACGCATACATATAAAAGTCTATTTGAGCAATAATCCTTGCCAGTAGGGAGCCCCTACCTTAGCTTCCGGGAGCTAACGGCAGTTGGTGGTTCGGTCCTTGGGAATGTATCATATGACGGAAGTCAAACTTATAAAACGTTGGACTTCTCAAATGCTACCCATACAACAGCTTTCCACTTAATATAACCTGCAATCCAGTTTTACAGTCTTGTCCAATCACTATGATACGGCAATGAATCAATCCACGACGGTTCCGACATGACGGAATACCCAAGCATATGTAAGAATACCATGATGGAATTCAATACTACTGATTGTAATCCTTTGCGCGACAGCTTCTGCAACTTTGACGTGTGGCACTATTGCATGCGTGTGGCAGCGTTTTCCTACTTAGACGCCTCCGCAAGCCTGGCTAGCCTCAAATAACTAATGGCTTATCCCTTGCAGTAGGTACTGAAGTAGTCAGACAGCTGTCCTTTTAGGACATTCAACTTTTCGAGAACAGACCTTCCGTGGGTAGAAGTTTGCAGCGACAGCTCGAAACCACGGAACGACAGCTGTCATGGAGTTTAGCAGCGCCCAAGCAACTCTTCGCATCCGGCGCGTGCAGTTGTTTTGTGCGGAAAACGGCCTGGACGGCGTGCTGCTCGTCCCTGGCGTCGATGGCCGTTTCTCTGTCTGCAACCAGGCTATGGGCTACCTCTTCAGCGGCCGCAGCAACCGCGACACCATCGACGTAGTTAAACTTGACGACAACCTCGACGATGCGGTAGCGCTGGTCACTGCAACCGAAGTAAGATTGTACATCCCCGATGCGGAGCTGCGCGAACAGCTCCAAGGCCTGCTGGTACCCCACGTGGCCAGCCTTCGCATTCTTGGACCCACCGTCTCTGAGGCCGCAGATCCAGACCTGTTAGAGGAAAACAAACTTGCCAGTTTCGTGCACATGCTGCGGGGATGCCAGCGACTCGGCATCCCCTGCAGCTTATCGCCTTGTCCAGCACAGAAGAATGAGGAACCCCCATCCTCTCAGCTCGCTCCTCGTCTGGGTGCGGAGCAGCTGCTGGCGCTGGAGCGGTGGCCCCTGCTGCAGGCATACGGCCTGGAGGGAGTGGGTCGCAGCGGCTTCTTCACCATGAACTTCCAGGCAGGTCGACCTCCTCTGCGGCGCTGTGTAGCTACTGCTGCTGCTAGTAGTGCTGCTACTGCCACTGCTGCTACTCCTGCTACCGTCGCTGCTACCGTTGCTGCTACTCCTACTGCTGCTGTTGCCACTGCTGCTACTAGTGTTATGCTACTGCCATGCCATTGCTGAGGCTGCAGTGCTGCGCCGCGTGAGGGGCTTGTAGTCCGGGGGATAACCCAGTTGTAGATCCGGACCGAGGGGCGGTATTTTATTGTACGGTAATTGCGGTCTAGGTGTCGTGCACGGGGGGGGGAGGAAACGCAGGTGGAGATGTGATATGCACGTGTGTTTGGGTTTGTGCCGCTGCCTGGGTGGCTGGCTGGGTGTTGCCTGGGGCACTTGACCTTCCTTCTCCCTCATCCCCAAGAGTTCTCCCTTTTTTTCACCTGCAGGTGCATGACGTACAGCCGTACATGCAGCACTTGTACGGTCAGCTGGACGGCAGGTCTCTGGAGGTGTTGGTTTCGGAGTCAGTACCCACTCTGAGGCTGCACTGGGACGAGATGCTGCAGGCAGGTGTCGCAAACGTCTTCTGGTCCCATCACCTACCTCATCATCGTCATCGTCCAAATCCCCTCCCCCTCCCCTTCCCACCTCCTCCCCCCCGGCCGTCCCTCAGGTGCTGGGTGGTAAGCCGGCCGGTCAGCGCGCCAAAGTGAGTGAGAGGCAGCTGGTGGAGCCGCTCGCAGGTTACTTCTCGTACGGCATGCTGAGGGCAGCCCCGGGGGTAGAGCAGGTGGGTGGGAGGGGTGGGTGTGTGGGGTGGGGGCAGGGAGGGATGGGGGGGCGCCCCCGAGGGGCCGGGTGGAGAGGACATACCTACCTAGCTACATGTACATACACCCAACCCGCCACAATCCATAACCCGCATTTCCGTACACCACATTCTCACATTTCTTTCCTGGACAAAGTATAACTCCTTCTCACATCACTTCACTTCACTTCATCGCCAGCACCACCACCACAACCACCACCACTACCAGCCGAACACTGTCCCCCGTCCCCTTCCCCCTTTTTGTACACTCTTTCCTTGGCATTAGCTTTACTCGTTCACGTGGTTCGTCATCCCCCTCAACCCCCCGGGATGCCCCTCCCCCACCCCGCCCCACCCCACCCCGGCAGGCGGTCATCCTGCCCCCCCGAGTCGTGTGCGGGCCCCGCAGCTCAGATGACTCGGCTCGCAGTGAGGCCACGACACTGACTGTCAATTTTGGACCCACCATCACCCCCTCCTCCACCACCTCCACCCCAATCCCGCACCCCGCCAGCAACCTCCTCCCGTCCCAGCCCGCTCTCCACTGGGTGGTGGAGGGGGCTGACCCCCGCAGCGCCCTGCGGGTGGCGCGGAGCTACTTCCTGACCAGGGGTTGTGGGACCCGGGACGTTTTTGCAGGTGCGTGTGTGTTTTGTGTGTGGGGGTTGGGGGGCAGATGGGGGATACGACGAAACATAGACGATTGACGCGAAAGAGGGTTGAGGGGGAGGAGGTTGGAAGGGGGTGGGGTGAAGGGGGGAGGTGAGTGTCGTTAACCGTTAGGGTGGCGGACACGACCTTCAGACAGACAGACAGACACTAGTGATAAGGGCTGGCGTTGGGGTGAAAAGACGAACCACGAGCGAGTGAAGCTGCTGCCGAGGAAAGGGGGTTGAGGGGAAAGGGGGGGCGATGGTATCTGTGAGTATATACACACACATATACATATACACACAACGCGCGCGTCGTGTTCTCGTGTGTGCGTCCACGCCAATAACTTACCCCAGCATTGTTCACGTGCTGGGACACGGCACGTGTGTTTTATGTTTCTTGCCACCTTCCCCTTTCCCCCGATGTCCCTCCCACACCCGGCCTGCTTCTGTGCGACCCGACAGACCCGGAGGAGCGGGAGGAGGAGGAGGCCGAACAGGGGTTCATGTTTGCCTCCGCCATTGCGGCGTGGGAGGGGCAGGCGGGGGAGGTGGTGATGATGATGAGGATGTACGCGGCCGTGGTGGAGGCAGCTCACGCGGCCATGTCACACTTTGCCTTGGTAGGGTCGGAGGGGAAAGGGCTCGCTCCCTCTTGTCCTGCGCTCTGTCTGTCTGTCTGTCTGTCTGCCTGTTTATCGTCGTGCCCTGTCTATGGCGCTGCTGATGCTGTTGCTGCTATAGCCCCTGCTACAGCCTCTTTCTCTGCGCCCTGCGCTTTGATACGTGTCATTTCGTCGTGTGTGTGTTTTTCATCGGTGTGGGTGCTCTTCTCCCCCCCCCCGGGACCCCCCTTCCCTCCCTTCCCGCGCCGTACTCGCGACGTGTGTGTATAGGTCGACGGCGCCACGGCCCTCAGCGCCAAGGCGGTGGCGGTGGAAGTGCTGGCCAGGCGGGCGGAGCAGCTGGGGCTGGCGGGGAGCCCCACTGCCGCCCGGCTCAGATTCACGCTGATGCAAATGGACCACATGAACCGGGTGACGGTGCCAGCTGTGCGGGGCAGCAGACAGCTCAAGGTGGGGTTTGGGGGGGGGAGGGATGGGGGGAGGGGGGTTGGGGGCAGGTGATGAGGGGGGGGATGGAGAGGGGTTTATGGGGGGAAAGGTGGGCGGGGTAACGAAGATATGCTGGAGGTAAAAGGCAGCAGTTGGGGGGGAGTTGTGAGAAGCCGCATCGAACACGCTTCAACACTCGTACAGACAGAAAGACATGACGTTGCGATATTCTGTCATAAGGGGTTGCTCGCCACTCAGCACTTGGCGCTCAGCCAAACCAAACCGGCAACACCCACCTCGATTTTGCACTCTCTTCCCCCCTGGTTAACTCTTGCCCTGGCAGCAGCCTCACTCGTTCGTGGTTCGTCTTTTCCCCCATCCCCAAAATAGACACACACAAAAAAAATTCAAAATATTACACAAAAACACAAATACACACACACACGACCTTCTTGTGTACATACATGTGACGTCCCCCGCTTACCCACGCGTCACCAAAACACACACGAAACACAGGTAATTCGGTTGAGCCTCCCGGACATCTCCCCTCGGAACTCCGGGGGAAAGCTGCTGGGCGGACTGGTGTACGGCGATACCTTCTTGGAACTTCCGCCGACGCCGCCGTACACCACCGCGTCGGCGGCATCGACGGTTGCTAGCGGTTGGCGGTTGTTAGTTTTAACGGAGGGTATCCCGGCGATGGTCGCTATTCCCGGCGGCGGCGGTGTTGAGGAGGTGCTGGAGGGCCGGGCGCTGCGCAGCCTGATGCGTGTGGTGGAGGAGGGGGGAACAGGTAGTGTACGACAAAAGGGGAAGGGGGGAAGGGGGGTTTCGTGAATGAGGTTTTGGGGGTTGAATTGCATTTTCTCACCTCCTGGGGTTTTGTCCCCCCGGGCCCCCGGCCCCCCCACCTCGTTCGTGGTTCGTCTTTCCCCCCACCCCACCCCCCGCAAAGCACACAACGCACGCACAGAGCGCACTGTCCTGTCCCGGTACCTTGGTGCCTTGGACGTCCGTAGCAATTCACCTTCTACACTTCGCATCATCATCATCATCATCACCCGCCTGTGGTTCGTCTCTCCAACCTCATCCCCCCGCAATCCGTGATTTCAGGGGGCGGCGGGGGCCGCCTGCGGACCTCTCAAGCCCGGACCAGCAGCCTAAGCTCGCGGCGGGAGCTGGAGAGGCGGGCAGCGGGGGCGGCGGCGGAGGCGGAGGCGCTGGCGGGGAAGTTGCGGGCGCGGAAGGGGGCGGGAGGGCCGGAACCCGGGGAGGAGCTGGAGGGGGAGGTGGAGGAGGAGGAGGAGGCGGAGGAGGTGGGTGGTGGCGGGCTGCGAGGGCTTGTCGGTGCTGCATGCATGCATGCATGCTGTGTTCCTCTGTACGACAGGGGGATGTCGTACGCGTTGTGTGCAGGGGAGGGTTAGGCTGGAGAGGCTCGGGTTAATGGCCGATGGCTGGGTGGTGCATGTATGTATGTATGTATGTATGTATCTCAGGAAGAAGGTTGTGTGGTGTTCAACCCGGGTGCCCGTACTGCTACTCCTGCTCACCACCACGGTACGACACCCCCTTCCCTCTCCCCCGCAGGAGCCTGCTGCTGCTGCGTCTTCCTCACCGGCTACTGCCGCCGCTGCCAAGCTCCGTCCCGCGGATGCTCTCGGGCGGTTGCTAACCCTGGGAGGAGGCGGTGACGATGCCGTACTGCTGACCGGTACGGCAGGGACTCGGGGGGACTTGGGGATTGAGAGTTTCCCAGCTCCCCTCCAGCCCTAACCCGCAACGCCGTACCCCGGGGGGCCCTAAGCACTCCGCCCGCTGGTCCGTCTGCGGGGCGGGGGGAGGGGAGTTCCCGGGGGGGGCCCAATCTCCCACGTGCAATACACAATATGTCCGCACTGTCGTCGAATTCCCCCAACCCCCATGGCGCCGCACATACATACATACATACATACATACATACATACATACATACATACATACATACATACATACATACATACATACATACATACATACATACATATATGCATACATACACACCGGCTCTTTTCACTCGCCTCTGCAGGCGCCCCCGTCTGTCCCGCCTTGTACGGCACCTTGTACTGCTTTTCCGGGGGCCTTGTGTTCGTGGAGGCGATTAGTCGGGCCCTATGGGTGCTCGACCTGCGAGGTGGCGGAGCGGCTGTAGCGGGAGGGGGTGTAGCGCCAGCGGCGGCGGCGGGTGTGGAGGCCGTCACCATACAGCAACTGCCGCTGCCGCAAAGGGCTGTAGCGGCTGCTGCTGCTGCGCTGTCGCTGTCGGCGGCAGATGGCGCGGGAGATAGCGCCTCCGGGGGCGGGGGCGGGGTTCGTGTGGGTTTGGGGGAGGCAGTTGTGTTTCGCGGCAGCTCCCCTGCCTGCGGTCTCCCCCCCGCCTGCCACGTCACCGCCAATACACACGTGGCACTTCCACTGGAGGCCATGTCGCCGGTGAGGGAGGGGAGGAGGGGCGGAAAATGGGGCCGGGTCCGACAAAACACAGACGATTGACGAGGAGAAGGAAAAAACATAAGAGGGAAATTCCTAAAGGTAAAAGAGCAGCACTGACCGGAGGAGAACAAGAAAGGT